TGGCTAATTCAATTCCTGGGCCACATGTGGACTTCTCTGACTAGTGACTGTCAGCCACTGAGGTCATCTGAAATCTCTCTCCTGGCCCATGGGTTTCTGCATGCCCTTGTCCTACATGCAGGGTGTGCACACTGGTCAGATTCCATGTTACCAATACGATGGCGAGGTATGCCTCTCTCTTTACATTGGCTCTGTGCGTGTGGCAGGATAAAACCCTTTGGCCATGGCTGCTATTTTGGTGGATAAAACTGTAAACTACAAGTGGACATTTTCTAAGAGTGCCTTGGTTGTGGCTTTGAGTCATACCCAGGGTGAACTGCACATTACCTCCTGGTTGGGGGCTATTTTCTCCTCATCACTTCCTTGAGCCATGATACCAAGCCACTTATCATAGTAATGGTGTGATAATATGCTTCCTTGGACATTTGGAAGAAAATATTTCCATAGAAAACTATTATTCTTATGGAAAAACATATACCTATTGCAGGAATTACAGAGAAAGCATTCACTTGATAATTCCCACTTAGTTCCAGTCCCCTCACAGACGCTGGCAGGTGGCCTTCCACAGGCCATGGATCTGGCTGTGCTGACCTGCACCCTCTCCTCAAGGAAAACCAGAGCCAAAGAGCAGCATATGGGAGTCTCCTCCTATCATCTGAAACTTCCTCTTTGTGGGCATTTAAGCAAACCAGGATAAACTAACAAGGTAGCAGATAAATCATGCTAAAAACCTGCTCTTCTCTTGAATGGAAATAAGCACACACATTTTGCTTATTTCTTTAAAAAAATGATCTATATTTTTCTTGACTTCTCCACAGCACCTAGGAAAACCATGTGATTTGCTCTTCATCTTCTGGAGTACTTTTCCCTGCTTCAGGGAATCAACACTTTGCTCCTTGTAACTTCATCCCCTATCATCCTTAGAAACATTCACTTTCATACACATGATCTTTCGATCACAGGCTTGAGCTGTGTGGTGTGTGTGTGTTTGAACACACGTGACAGGCCATGGGCTGCACCCAGCTTATCATCCCCAGTGACATTCACTGTCTCCCAGGCTCAACCCTCAAGGAAACATCAGCACACTTTCATATCCGATGTCCCCGTCACTTGGAAATGTAGTACCTCCTGGATCACCACGTTTCCAGTTCCGAAAGCATCCCTCTACACTTCCATATACTTGACTGTTTCATTCACTCCCACAAATACGCCTTTATCAACCCTTTTTACCCCTATCAACTGAGTTCAAGTTTCATTTGACACCCTGTTATGGTTTAGATATGAAGTGTCCACCAAAAGCTCTTGTATGAGACAGTGCAAGAAAGTTTAATGGTGAAATGATTGGGCTATGAGAGCCTTAATCAGTGCATTAATTGACTGATAGGGATTAACTGGGTGGTAACTGTAAGCAGGTAGGGTGTGGCTGAAGGAGGTGGGTTTCTGGGGCATGTCTTTGGGGTATTTTGTCCATGTTGAGAGGAGTCTCTCTCTGCTTCCTGATGCAATGTTCTGAACTGCTTTCCTCTGCCACACCCTTTTGCCATGACGGTCTGCCTCACCTCTGGCACAGAGCAATGGAATTGGCCATCTTTGGACTAAGATCTCTGAAATTGTGAGTGCCAAATAAACTTTTCCTCTTTGAAAATTATTCTTGTCAGGTCATTTGGTTACCACAGCAGAAAAGTTGACTAAAACACATCCTATCCTGAAATGTGCAACTGTTTTATTTCTTGCTTTGAACTACAAACTTGTAAAGGGGAGTCCATACAAACTGCCTGTGTGCACCTCCTAGCCACCAGTTCAGTCCTTCACCCCTTGCCATCTAGGTTTTGCTTCAGCCTTTATTCTAAACTCAAAAATAGCCTCATCAATAATCCATGAGAATTTTCTACAAGTTATTTCCTCCTGTTCTCTCTGAACACTGCTGTCCATTCTTTCCTTCTGGCTACTCTGCATTCTTTTATTATTTTCCTCATTCTCTGGTTTTCCAATGTCTCTTTCACTAATTCCATATCTACTTCTCACCTCTTAAATAGTTTCAGTTCTAACATTATTCCAGGCATCACCGCATATATACAGTACTGGCCACCCTCACCTCCAAGATGCCCAAGTATGTCACAAATTCAACAAAAACAGCAAACTTTTTTTAAAAACCCTTTGATGCTCCACACACTAAAGTCTCCATTTCTGCTAATGACAATATAATCTTCTCAGCGCAACAAACTGAAAATTTCTGAATCACCTTTACTTCTCTCTCCTATAAATCAGGTTAATTCTATTTTTATTTTAATTGTTTTTTAAAGGTCCCTTTTTAGTTTAGTTCTTCCATTTCTTTCTAATGCACTGCCCTCCTTATCTATCCTCCAACACTTTTATACCTCTGGATGGGAAAGGAGGACCTAAACCTAAAAATATCATTACACATGGTATATGCTAAGGGATTAATAAATTGAAAAAAACAGAGGTCTCTAATTGGCTATTTGAATGCCAAATCTGAAAGATGTGTTTTGTTTGGCCTGAAGAGTATTTTTATAATTTTGAGCAAACTTTCCCTAAAGACTTCAAATAAAAATCTAGATGTTCAGGTAGTCTAGCAAAGGAGAACATCTGGCAGCACTGAGGTCTACAGCTATCAGCTGGATTTGACTTGTGGTGTCTTCTTAAGAGACTTACCCCACCATAATCCTTACCACTCTCTAGTTCCAATTATTTATATTCACCTGCTTCTACTCATTCAAGCTTCTTGGTATCTGAGTAAATTTTGCTTTTAAAGTCAGAACTAGGGCTGGGGATGTGGCTCAAGCGGTAGCGCGCTCGCCTAGCGTGCGTGTGGCCTGGGTTCGATCCTCAGCACCACATACAAAGATGTTGTGTCCGCCGAGAACTAAGAAAACATAAATAAATATTAAAATTCTCTCTCTTTCTCTGTCCCCCCCCTCTCACTCTATTTTATTTTATTTTTTATTTTTTTTAAAGAGAGAGTCAGAACTAAATTTTTGATGGTAAGGATGCTATTTTGCATGTATGTTTGACTACTAATAATGAATCTAGCACAATGGTAAGCACCCATTATATGTTTGGAGAAAATTGTTGAGATTATTATCAGGAAAGGTATAAAAGTACACAGAGAAAATAGGATTTAAATTGAATCCTGAATAAAACAGTTTGATTTGATTAACCTGTAAAGAAGAGAGAAAACTCTACTTGGTACAAAAAAAATACTATACTTTATCCCAAATTGAGTGCTAATTTGTTTACTGCTAGGCAATTTACTTAACCTCTGTGAGCCTAAGTTTACCTATCTGCTGAACTATGATATAATATATTTCATAGTGCAGTTATGAGAAATAACCAAGATATATAATTACACAGTATGATTAATAAGTAGTAGTTAATAACAACAAAAAATACTAACTCCCTAAATAAGAAGTCAATAGATGAGCAGGGTCAGGGCATAGTGAGTAGTCCAGTTAGACTAGAGTGAAATGCAAACAAGAATGGAGAGAGATACAGACCTGAACCAGTCACCATTTCTCTCCAACCAACTCAAGGCTTAAAGTTATCAGCTGAGCCATTAACTGTGGGAAGTGACAGAAGCCAAGGATTCTGAAGAAATCCTTCCTCAATAGAAAGTACATGAGCTCCGAATCAGATTCAGATCTGGCACTTACTAGCAGGGTAAACCTGAGCCAGTTTGTTAACTGTTCTAGTTCTCTGTTTCCTTATCTATAAAATGGGGATGGAATGACGTATTTTTTTAAAATAACATAAAAAGGATGGTATGAAGCACAAACAAATAATACATTTGAAGCATCTAGCAGTTGGCTAGGCATATGGTGGACACTCAAATTACATCATGAATACCAGCATCTTGTACCACCTTTTCACTCTTGTGTGTCTTTTCCCTCTTCTTTACTAGGCTCTTTTTGCCTCCCTACGGATATCCATGTTTTCAACAAGTGTTTATTGAAAATTAATCTCACTTGAAAGCATTTATTATAAGTCAGGCATAATGCTATTAACACTAGCTTTAAACAACGCTACCTATCTTGCCCATGAAAGTACTTCAAATTCACGTGCATAAGTGAGCCATGCACCTCCCTGTAAATCAATTTGCAAAATATACTGGCTTGACCAAAATGTGTCCACATATCTTATATGTGTAATGTGTAGACCAAAATGTGTTCACATATTCTGAAGTTCCAAGAGTATATGTGTAAGCATAGCAAAAGGAAGCTGGGATAGGTATCGCTGAAATGGCAAGAAGCAACAGTAAACAATGCTAAAGGAACTAAGTTAAAGTATAAGGAGACACATGCTTTAACCCATTAATTCCCATTTCTGGCAAGTTAGCCTGAGGAAATAATTATAGACATGCACAACAATTTAAAAGATGTTCCTTCCAGGTTTGTTCATAAAACTATAAAAGTAAAACTAATTTTAACATCTAACAATAAATAAATTATGGTTTATCCAAGTAAATTATTAATAATTGATGTCACAGAGTATCTGATAAAATGGAAAGATGATCAGGATATATTAACTGACAATAGCAAAACACGTGGATAAACATGAAAAGATTAAGGCTAGCAAAATATTAATGATTGACTATGAAGGTACATTCTGGATTTTCACTTTTTGTTTCTAGCTTTAAATGTTTTACAACTAGAAAAAATGATAGGCGCAGGCTAAATATGCAAATAAGCACACTAATGGTTTGGGGAGTGGAGATACATGATGACTAAATAAATGGTAAGATAGCTACCAAAATAGGTGATTGATAAATAAAGATAGATGATAGATTGACAGCTAGATGCCTGGCTAGACAGACACATGAGAGATAGATGGATGATTAGATAATCTCCACATCCAGGAGGCACGCAGAGTCAGATGGCTATCAAGAATGCTTAATGAACCTCATAGGTGTCCTCAGTGACAGGTTGATGACAACAAGCGAATGATCCAGCAGTTGTGTCTGAGCCTGTGGTTTCTGCCTTCAGGTCGACGCCCATGGGAACATTCTCCTCAGCACCCTGGAAATCAGGAACGAGACCAGCGGCTCAGAGGTGCTCACGGGCGTGAGCGACCCCAACACCACCATGTACTCCTACGGCAGCGCCAGCATCCAGTACCGCAAGCCGCTGAGCAGCCGCGAGGGCTATGGGCGCGCCCTGGACCGGCACGGGGTGCCCAGCAAGGGGCGCATCCGCCGGCGCGCCTCGCAGCTCAAAGTCAAAATCCCCGACTTGACTGACGTGAACTCCATAGACAAGTGGTCCCGAATGTTTTTCCCCATCACCTTTTCCCTTTTTAACGTCGTTTATTGGCTTTACTATGTACACTAAGATCTGTCCTAATGGTTCAATTTAGACTACTTTCCTCTTGTTTTTTAACCCCCCAGGTCCCCAACAGCGATACTGCTGTGTTTTTTGAGGTAAGAGATTCAGCCATCCAACGGGTTTTAGGTCTTGCATATCGATTTTATTACTGCACCATGTTTACTTCCAAAAAAAAAGTATTTTTTTTCCAGTCTACTGTGGTCCAGGTTATCAGCTCTTTAAGAGCTCTATTAATTGCCATGTTTACAAACAAACCACACAAGAGAGGAGTTAGGAAGATCTTTAGCAGTCTTTCCTAGTTGCCCTGGATTTATATACATATATATAAAAGAGCCTCGCTGTTCACCTGCACTGCTTCCTGGTAAACTGTAACATTCTCATGCTGCCAAAAAAAAAGAAAAAAGAAAAAAATAAATAAATAAACCAACACAACAATTTCCAGGATCTCAGAAGAAAAATAACAAAGCCATTGACAAGTTACAGATTTCCAGGAAGACGGAGAGGGAGACAAGGGAGGAGTCTAGAAAAGAGAGGAAGGTTCCCCTGGACTCTTAAGTAACCCCCCCCCCAAGTCCCTTGTAAAAGGGCTCCTGAGCTCTGTGGAACAGGAGGGAGGGACTGAAAAGTGCCGGTCAAGGTGGTGCCAACTCAACCTTCCATCTTCACCTCACCATTAGGCTGGGTATCCTTAGAAAGTCTTCTTTGTCAGACTTCCTGGCAAATTCTTCAATGAACCTTAGAATCCAGCCTGCTAAAACTGATAGCCATTGAGAACATTTTTCTCTCCTTAGGAATGAAGAGTTTGGGGAGCAATGACTAGATTTCTTACTGACATGTCCAATGAGCAGCCCTGAATGCACTTCATGAGCCTGAAATCCTTTGAAACTGTGCCATGAAACCTTGCCATCACATTTCCATAGTTCCTTCTTGGGGGAGAATAAGAGAAAGGATACGTGGTGAGGGCTTTGAAGAGAGGAATGGGGAGAAATTTTCACTTGAGAAAAATATTGTCCTTTCCATGAGGAAGGCAAGATTTATGTGCTGTGTAAAGGGTGCCTGGGCAGTTCTCTGAACTGCCAAATCTTAAATCAAATAGTATATATTTCTTAGCCTTCCAGAGAGCCGTATCTAATGGTGACAGGCTAGTCACACAGGCCTTAGCAGGTACTTTCCGGCTCTCTCTGAGCTCTGCATTCCAGGCTGTGGAATGAATGCTACAGGAAACGCACACTTATCCACATTGGTGTCATTTGCTTCCAAAGCCAGACTTCCATTTTAAGAAAATCCTTAAAGTAACAAATCCACAGATAAAAACAACAACGACAAAAGCACTGGGCCTTCAAACACTTGCACCAGCCCCTAAAGTGTCAACCCTGTCTACACTTGTCAATCACTGTCATCCCTGCTCTGCCTTATCTCTGCTCATGGATTACCCTGGATCATGGTTCTCATGACTTTCAGTAATGCCACACAATTATAAACACATCCAACACGCTATAGTTAAGATTCTTCCCATTTGATTTCATTAAAACCTCCCTTTTCTTTTTTTTAAGTGTGAGTATCTAAAAATTCTCTAAGTTCACTTTCAAGGTTGAGTGAGAACTTAAATTGACTAACCAGTAATAGAAGTGATTTTGGCACCTGATCCATAGATATGAAATCAGGGTTTAAGTAATAATAGGGATGATTGCCTCATTTGATAATCTGGCTTTTCTCCCTGAAGCTGTGAGGAAAATCTATGGGTAGACTAGCATGAGCTTCTGGAAATTATAGTCATAATTGGAAAGATGAGGCTGAATTCCTACTGATGAGCCCAAGGGGAGTTATAAGATATTATTTTAGGAAAAAAGGGGGAGTCCTCAAATAATAAATGGGTATGATTGAAGATAATATACATTAGTAAGAATATTAAAACTCCACTTTAACTGGAAAAATGATCTCAATGGTTTTATGAGGAGTTGGTACGATTATGGGGACCAAATTTTTATTTTGATTTTCAGTTATTTGAACATACTTCCTTGATCAAGGTATCCCCAACTTGTGGACACAAGTCATCTATTTTGAAATTTTATTCAGTCCCTTGGCAGGATGAGATGCTTTGCCATTGTAAAATGTCCAAATTGGGTGCAATGTGGCCATGTTGGTGAATGTAAGGTTAGTATTCCCGATGACCACCCAGTAACCACTGTGCAGCCGTTTATTTTAAACATAGGAAGGGAAATTTTTGGCCAATGTCTAACAGAAATGAATCATTCTGATGTCAAAGCCCTTTAAAAAGCTTTTAAGGGTAAAATGCTAAACGAGAAAGGAAGTGTCTGTAATCTATGTTTCTTAACAAAACAATTTCTCTTTATTTATCTGCTTAGATCATTCTTCTTGGAAAATGACTGAGGTAATTTATATTTCAATTATTATTTTTATCTTGTCTTTTAAAGTCTAAAGTGTTGGTTTTTGCTATAGTTTTAGATATCTTCTGAGAAAAAAAATATTTTGAACTCTTAAAAAACTTAACTTTTGTAAAATGTAAAATTATCAAGCTTGGATCTACCCACTGGGCACAAAATGGTGTCACCATCTGGACACTAGAGGGTTCACAGCTACCATTATGCAAATCCTATCAAATGGCTCTAATTTTAGAGGCAATGGTAGCCAAAAGAATGGAGAATCTGCCATGTTTTTGGTTAACGAACTCTGACCACACTTCTTTCTTCTGAACATTTCTCAGACAAATCCTTTCCTCCTTGCCTCCCCTCCTGGCTAAATCCTCCCTTTCTAGACTGACCAGTGCATGGGAAAAAATATCTACTTTCTCCCTTTGTCTTGTCCAAAATGATGTACATAAGACATAAATAGTTGTGAAACATTTTTAAGTGCCCTGACAGTGGCCCGCATTCTTGAAAGATTCAGATTATTAGATTATACAAGGGTTAGGTTTAATTATTATTGGGTTGTTTTATTTTTTGCCATGAAAATAGCCATAATCCCCTGCATTACTTAAGTGGCAGAAGAGATTGAAAACTGCACACTCATTCTCTTATGCCTGCCACTGTCAGGTCCAGGGAATCCCATGTGCACGGTTCATCAACTGTGGCATAAACTGTGTCATCGACTTAACCTATGTAGACGCAGCAGAAATTCCATCTTTCATGTGACAATGATGAATATCCACTTATCCCTTCTATTCATGTCCTTGACCTAAAATATCAGGGGTGACATATGTGTTACGCTTACTAGCTTTGTGAGGCAGAGACCCAAGTAAAGAATTATCCAGGATTATTGCCTCTGTCCTCTTCATTGCCAAACAGTAAGAGCAGCCCAGTTGATACTTCTGCTGACGGAATGATCTGTTTTTGTACATACCATCTTTTTTGTACATTAAAGTCCACGAAGGATCTTGAAAATGCAAAGAAAAAAAAATGTGGTGCAGAGAATAAACTTTGGTTTAAGGGTCCAGGGAGAGGCTTTCCTTTAAAAATATTATGTACAATACATAAAAGTAATGATGAAATTCTATCTTTCTCAAATCAATGACTATTTTATAAATATGCATTTAGGAAAGAACTCAATTGCAATTTGCCAAGTTAAACAAAAAAGACACACACATAATGCTTCTAGAAGGAAATGATCTCCAAAATTTCTTATATGGACAGTTCTGAAGAGTACCTTACCAAAGGGTGATGTGCCAAGATTTTTTTTTCCTAAATGAAGTATAATCATATGTCCCAAGAGGGAGAAAAAAGGAATGTGCAAGCATTTGCTTATGTTGGTTCAATCAGCAGTTACTGGAGGAAGAGAACAGAAAATCAGTAAAGATATCTGTTTCCTGAAAGCAAGCAGAAAACATGAAGGTAAATGTGTTAAGGGAATGTAGACTATTATGTAAACTTCCTTGTAAATTCTGTACATAGTTCATTGAACTGTTCCCTGTGGCGTGGTGGTCCTCTACTTTGGGTGGATATTTGAAAACTCTGAGCATTGTAAATAATGTAAGCTTATAAAGCATTTGCTTTTATTCATGAAGCAAAATGACTAGTGATTTGGACCCAAACCAGAATCTTTTTCAGCTCTTCTTGCTCTTTCTCTGCTGTTTCGTGCGTGCAGTTGTGTAACCCTGCTGTAAGCCAGAGCCAGGTGTCTGTGATCACTGCCTCATGCCCCTATCCCACCAAAAGTGTCAACAGCCATGAGAAGGCTGCAAGCCTGTGGGGCCCAAGAACAGCACACCAGCAGAAACGGGGATGGGAGCAAACTGCTCCTTAAATCATGTCATGAAAAGTAGATGGACATGTTGTTTTCAGTCATTTGTGAGTATTCATATCTCCAGATATGGAATTATCCATGCCATTGAGCAGGGTCAGGAATGCAAGAGATGCTCCAAATCCACAGGTGATCCAAAGCTTCATTTGTGCCAATAGCTTTAGCCTCTAACTTCTCTTCTGCCATGTTTCCCAGAACTTCTCCAAAAAAAAAATAACAGTGAATAAAAGGGATAATGTGATCAGGGTAAACAAGCAAATGTCCAAAAGTATAGGAAAAGATAGTTGATTCATTTCCAAAAGATCCAGTGTCATTATTATTTAAAAGTAAAGAGAAATATTGTTATAAACTGGGAACTGAAACAAGAATTTTCAGCTGGGGGTAGGGATATGAGTAATATGTGCTAATTAAGCTTAAAAGAAGGTCTGGTAATTAAATGTTCTCAAATATATTTCCCCCAAGTATTTGTATTCTTGAAAAAGTCTTTAGAATGATGGAATATTGTGCTATAAGATGTGTTTCCATGCAAACTGGCAATTCCAGAGAGAGGTGATGGCATGTACAGAAATTCTACAAGTAATCAGGGATAGAAATTGGTTTCCTAGTAATGTGTTAGAGGGAACAGCATCTTTCTTGGAGTTAAGAAATTCGCAAAGTTGGACTTTGGGTCAGTACTCGAAATGCTAGGACAGCATACACGGGGAGCCATCACTGTGAGCCATTTTGGTTCCAAAATGTGCCCACTAGAGTTCACTACTAGTGGAAAAAGAAAAATGACTCATCAGGTCACTTTGTAGGTTAAGAATACATTGTGCTTTTACTTTAACCTAGCTTTTTTTAGATATGAAATCAACTAAAGTGATAGAAAACGTCATTGTTGGAGGCTGTGGTTACACAAGCAAGCACTTGAAAGAAAAGAAAGTTAATAAAAGAATTGCAAACCAAAAAATACTGAGTTTCTAGAAGGATAAGAGTGAAGAGTTTTGTGTTTATTTTTACTTCTTCCATAGGAAGAATTTCCTAGTTGAATTGAAGAGATCTAACAGTTGGTTAGGGTTTTTTGTTGTTGTTGTTGTTGTTCTTTTGCCTAATTAAAAAGTCATTGGTATATCAAAGGACTCAGAATAATTTCTGATTGG